CGGGGCCGGGATGGGCGGCCAGGGGACGCGGTGGATGGAGGAGAAGGGTGGGACTGCGGGACCGCGATGGGCGGCCAGGGGACGAGGTGGATGGAGGAGAAGGATGGGACTGCGGGACCGCGATGGGCGGCCAGGGCACGAGGTGGATGGAGGAGAAGGATGGGACTGCGGGACCGCGATGGGCGGCCAGGGGATGAGGTGGATGGAGGAGAAGGATGGGACTGCAGGGTCGGGAGGAGCGCCGGGCGCAGGGAGGATCGGGTTAGAGAGGCCGGGGCAGGGGGCTCCGCGCCCCCCTCCTGACCTCTCCTCCTGCAGCTTCACGGACCCCAGCGTGTCCATGGACCTGCTGCGGGCTGTGCTGCAGCCCAGCATCAACGAGGAGATCCAGGGCATCTTCAACAAGTACATGAAGGTGAGCGCTGGGGGCGGGTGGGCAGCAGCAGGTGCGTGGGGACAGCTCGGTGCCACCGAGGCTATCGCGCCTGTCTGCGGGAGCCGAGCTGACACTGCGCAGGCTGTCACCCTCTCCTGCCTTCTCCTCTTCAGTTTTTCCAGACAGCAGCAATCAACGTGCGTGATAACGTTGGGGAGGAGGTGGACCCAGAGCAGCTCATCCAGGAGACCTGTAGGAGCTGCCTGGAGCAGGTGGGTGCTGGGGAGGTGTCTCTTGAGTGCGCAGCCAAGCAAAGCAACCTGGCTAGAATGTGTCCCTCTTTACAGCTTTGCTGTCACTGTGAGGGGACATCCGCAGCCATTGTGTGACTGCTGTGTTGGCATTCATTCTCTCTGGGAAGAAGGGAGCAGTCAGGGCTGGGCAGCTCATGCTGCTTCTTCTCACTGCTGCTGTAAGGAACATGGCACACTGCTGGAGTCCCACAGAAACTGGCCCCCAGCACCCGTCAGAAGGTCCTAGCAGGGTGGGGCAGGATTTTTCCTTTCATGTCTTGCTTATCTGCCAGTTTGCCAGAATTTATCATGCTCCGATTGTGCTTTTGCATCTGGCTGTCTGTGGAAGCGTGGCCTGGTAGCACTCCAAAAGCAAAGCTGTTGCAGGGTTTTTAGGCAGATATGTAGAGGTGGGGGTTGTTTATGGGGCCTTCTCTGAGCCCAGAATCCAGGGAACCTTCTTTGTCTTCCTTTAGGCCAAACTGCTGTTCTCAGATGGCAAAAAGGTGGTTCCCAGGTTGCCCCATGAGCAGGCAGTGCCAAAGGTAATTGTGGTGATTGTACACAGAGGTTTAAATGACTTCTGAAAGCTGGGAGAAGAGTTGGGATTACTTTGTTCTCTGACTCTTCTTGGCTGCCAGTGCAGTAGTGCAGAGACAGAGTGGGGGATGTTTGGCTTGAAGGGAATGCAGGGCAAGGAGAATCCCAGGTGTGGGTGCTGCTTGCTGCAGTTCAGTGCTGCTCATGGGGGTGGTCTGGGGTCAGTGTTCACCTGGCCAGGTAGGGAGAGGAGCCCTGCTCATCCCACTGCCCTTCCCTTCCAGCGTGCCCGACAGATGGATGAGGAGCTGAGCCGCCGAGGAAGCCCCATTCCAAAAAAGGTAGGATGGTTTTCTTCACAAGAGAGTTTATGTTTTGGGAAGCCTGGCCCTCATTCCTGGCCATTCCCACAGTGTGAGTGCAGGGAGGTGCACGGGCAGCTTTTTTGAGGTGTTGGAGGTGCTCACTCTGGCGCAGGCAGTGTTTTTGCCTGTGACAAAAGAAGCAGCTTCCCTGGGAGAGGGAGGGTTGCTGAGAGGGTTCCCTCAGGCAGCACAGCTGGGTCACAGAAGGGTTTCTTCCATGCAGAGGAAGGGGCGGCCTCCTGGACAGAGCCTGTCAAATGACCGTGGAGTCTCAGGCATGGCAACGTGAGTACAAACCCTGAGCTAGAGCCCCTGTTTCGGGAGGGCAGGGACAATGAGGCTGCGTGTGGGGAGCACAGAAACCCCACAGACTCCTCTCTTACAGAGAAGTAATGGGAGCTCTTCTGGGTATGGGCAGAAGCAGGGTTAGGTTGAGGTGTTCCCCTCAGGAGGCAAAGACCTTAAAGGGAGGGATTTTTAAACAGGCCCAAAGGGGTGAAAAGGTCCAGATGGACCATCCAGAATGAGTGGTGAGACACAGGGGATGGTGGGATCTGGGCAACCAGGAGAGGAGAATGTGCAGCAAAGTTGAAGGTCCAAAGCCGGGCGCTGTGGGGAAATGGAGGGTGTGAAAAAATGGTGGATTTGGAAGGGTTTGAGCTCAGTCCCTGCTGCTGGTGGTGACTAAGCTGATCCCACTGGGACTCATTCTTACTGTGTTTTCCTTCCCCTCAGGTGGAAGCTCAAAGTCTCTGAGCCTGTGAAAAGGGATGGACCAAAGGTATTAGCTGTCCGACACTGCTGGGCTCCCTCTCTCCTCCCCTTTGCTCCCACCAGCAGGAGCGCAGGACAGCGCGGGCTGTGCCCTGCCCTGCTGGGGCCTTGGGCAGGGCGGGAGCAAGAAGAGGAAGCGAAGTGCCCGGAGGCCTTTGCTGGTCTCCCCAGGCACCCAGCCTGTAGCCCTGCAGTGTGGTGCCGCTGAGGGAGGCCTGAGGAGACCGGGAGTAGCCAGGAGAATCCCACAAGTGTTTCCCACGAGGGAAACTGCTTAGATCAGCCCAGACGGAATGTAACATCCCTCCCCTGAGGAAGGCTGGAGGTCATTGGCCAGCTCCCTCCCTCCCAGTCTGGAGGCAGCTCCAAGGTTCCCTTGTCAAAGAGCCGAGGCTTGTGGAGCATGGCCAGCAGCAACTTCATTTCTAATGTTGCCCCTTTTCCAATTGCTCTGTAGTGGGATCCATCCCGACTGACTGAAACCACAACCTTTGTGCTGGGATCTCGAGCAAACAAGTAAGGAACGGCCCTGTCGATGGAGGGTGGTGTCCCCAGGCAGGAGCCCGTGACACTCCTCCCGTCACTTCGCTTCTCTGCCTCAAAAGCAGTAGGAAGGGCTTGGGGAGGAGAGGGGTGTCCCTGTGCTACCACAGCTGCCCTCCCCACAGCCCTAACACCCCTCATGTTCCTATTGCAGAGCTCTCGGGATGGGAGGAACAAGAGGGCGACTCTACATCAAGCATCCCCACCTCTTTAAGGTCAGGTGCCACAGCCAGATGGTTTCCCATGGGAATTAGGAATGTATGTTTCAGCTCCCTTGCTTACTGCCTCCCCCATGTCCTTGTTTGTTGTCTTAGATCGTGTTCCCAAGGTTTGGATAGCACATAACACTAGCCAGTGGTGTCGCAGCCTGCCAAGGCAGCAGGGGTGGCAGAGCCAGGGCTGAGGCTGGAGCAGGGCAGGCGGAGCGGGGGCAGAGCAGAGCGGGGCTTTCAGGGGAGGGTCTGTCGCCCGTTCTCAGCTCGGTCCTTGCTGCTTTATTGCAGTACGCAGCCGACCCGCAGGATAAGCACTGGCTGACAGAGCAGCAGCACATGAGGGCCATTGGGGGCAAGATGGTGAGTACGGCCGGGCGCAGGGCCCGCCGCGGGGCCAGGCGGCGGTGGCAGGATAGGCAGGGCACGGGGACACGGCGCTGCCAAGGTCTGTCCCCTCCCACAGGACTGGGGCATGGGCCAGGAGGCACGGCTGGCTCCCACAGGGACAGTGGTGGCTGGGGGGTGTGGGCCTGCCCTGGCTGCCCCTCGCAGGCACCCTGAGGTGTCCCCTGCCTTGTGCCACAGGCCTACCTCCTCATTGAAGAGGACATTCGGGATTTGGCCGCCAGTGAGGATTACAGGTGAGGACCGAAGCAGAAATTCTGAAAGTGCTGTTGGGCCTGAGGCTGCTTCTTGGGGGGCCCCCACCATGTCCTGCCTCAGTGCTACATTGCAGAGACGTCCCGTGCTGGAGGGGCTCTCTGCATGGTGGCTGGGGGCTTGGTTATGGTTGGGGATTGGTGCCCATGGGGCAACTGAGGTTTGGACTTGGTGTTGGTTGGGGATCCATGGTAGGTTTGGGCTCAGTGCTGATTGAGATTCATGGTGGGTTTGGTGGGTCTGGGCCTGGTACTGATGTGTGCCAGGGGACATGGTGGGTCGGCAGTGGGTGCTGTGTCCCTCCATGTCACCCTGTTCCTCCGCAGGGACTCTGTTGATCTGCGGCTGGAAGAGCTGAAGCCCTTCATCCCACCAGCCTGGATGACTGAGAAGATGCAGAAGCACATGGAGACGCTTCGCCGCGGGGGGGACGTGCCGGCCCCCGAGGAGCCCCCCGAACCCTGATGCCCCCCAATAAAGCCGCTTCGCTCGCAGCTCGCCGCTTCCTCGGGCACCGGGCACCGGGCTCGGGCCGCGTCCGGGCCGGCGGGACCCGCGGGGCAGCGGCCAATCAGAGCGCGGAGCGTCACTGCCGGCGCCCGCCGGCCGTTACCGTGGGAGCGGCATCCTCGGCGGGCCGTGATTGGCCGGCTCGAACGGGGCTGCGCGCTGATTGGTGGGGGGGACGCACGTGGAAATATTCAAACGGGGCGCGGGAGCAGGCGGGGCCGCGCGGGACGAGCGGACTGGAGAGTGTCCGGGCCCGGGGCTGCGACCGGGCCGCTCTGCACCGGGGAGGGGTTGGGACTGAGCCGCTCCTGCACCGGAGAGGAGTTGGGATCGAGCCGGTCTGCACTGGAGAGTGGTTGGGGCCCAGCCGCTCTGCACCGGAGAGGAGTTGGGACCGAGCCGCTCTGCACCGGAGAGGGGGTGGCACCCAGCCGCTCTGCACCGAGGGGGTTTGACACTCAGCCGCTCCTGAATCGGAGACCGTCTGGAACGGGATTGGGATCGGGCCGCCGCCTCACGGGAGAGCCCCAAGCACCGCCGCTCGGCACCGGGGAGCCGCAGAGGGGCCCGAGTCCTGCCCCGAGCGGGACTGCGGGAGGGAGGGAGAGAGCAGCGGAGCCCGGTGCGGCGCCGCCCGGGAGCCGGAGCCGGAGCCGGTCCCGCCCGTGACCCGCCGGCAGCGGCGGCCGGTGCCAGTGTGCTGGTCCGTGCCCCGGGAGCCGCTATGGCCTCACAGAACGCCGACCCCGCCGCCGTGTCCAGCGCAGCCGCCCGCAAAGCGGCTGAGACCGGGGCCACGGCGGCCCGCGGCGCGGTGGGGAAGAGGTGAGCGGAACCGGGGCCGGGGCTGAGGGCGGGGGCGGCCTCGGTGAGCCGGCCGGTAACGTGCGCTTTCTCCGCAGGCTGCAGCAAGAGCTGATGGCATTGATGGTGAGTGGGGCCCCGGGGCCGAGCCGGGGATTGGGGATCCTGGGCTTGAGCCGGGGGTTGGGGATCCCAAAGGCACCCGGGACTGAACTGGGTTGGGGGGGTGTCTCGGGGCGTCCCGGGCCGCCCTGACGCGCTGCCCCCGCAGATGTCCGGTGACAAAGGCATTTCTGCCTTCCCCGAGTCCGACAACCTCTTCAAGTGGATCGGGACCATTGACGGCGCCGCCGGGACGGTGAGAGGCGAAATCCCGGTCTGAGGTGGCCCTGACCCTGCCTCACCTTCCTCCCTTCAGCTGAGGGTGTTCCTAGCCCTCCATTGCCCTTGTACCTCTTTTTCTTCGAGGCTTCCCCACACCTCTGGGGCTACAGCCCCCCCTGACTCCTGTCCCACTTGACTCTCACCCCAGGCCTACGAGGAGCTGCGGTACAAGCTGTCACTGGAGTTCCCCAGTGGGTACCCCTACACAGCACCCACCGTGCGGTTCCTGACCCCCTGCTACCACCCCAACGTCGACACCCAGGGCAACATCTGCCTCGACATCCTCAAGGAAAAGTGGTCAGCACTGTATGATGTCCGCACCATCCTGCTCTCCATACAGAGCCTGCTGGCAGGTGGGTCTCGCGGACAAACTGCTGTGGAGTGCTGGGGGAAGGGGTGGTGGTGTTGGGGCTGTCCAACCCAGATCAGGGCTCAAGGGTGTCCAGGTCACCAGCTAACGCAGCCACTGTTTCCAGAGCCAAACATCGAGAGCCCTCTGAACACACATGCTGCTGAGCTCTGGAACAACCAAGTTGGTGAGTACCTGAAGCAGAACCCTCCTGCCCTCTCCCCAGTGGGATGGGCAGCAGCACAGCTCCCAGTGCCTGTCTGGCCCCACAGCTCCCTGGTCACTGCCTCAGGACCCTTGGTGTCATGTTCTCTCTTTCCTCAGCCTACAAGAAGTATGTGCGGGAGACGTACAACAAGCAGACCAAGAGCCAGGAGACCTGACCATCACCACCACCCCTCAACACATCCCCTCCCTCCCGGCCATCCCCCGCGTTCTGTATCATAGGCTGTTTTTAAATTAATGTCGCAGTCCGAGCCATGGTTAATGTATAAATAAATGCAGGTTTATAACTTCTGCAGGGGATTCTGTGGCAGCTCTAGCACACCCTGAGTGCCCAAGAGGCCCCTCTGCAAGTGTGGGCGTGAAGGGTGGAAGGGATACTGACCCCTGTGGGGTAATGAAAGCTTTATCAATATTTGGGGGCCTGGAGCAATTCTATCTACAGGGTGGGAGCAGCCCACACCATAACCTGCAAAGGCAGGGGCTGAGGACTGTAGGGGTACCTCTGTCTCCTGCTCTGTGACAGGGGTGTCACCTCTGCTGCTATCTCCTGCCCCCCTAGCTCACAGCACCCCACAGCAGTGCCCAGCGCAGGGGCCGCCCCAGGCCGCTCTCTGTGTGGTGCCACTTGTCTCTGCTGGCTGTGTGGTCTCTGTGGCTTCCACTGTCCATGGTGGAATGTTGGCTCCGCTCTCCATCTCTGCCAGCGTGGCTCTCACCTGCTCGATCTCCTCCTCCAAGCACTGGGCGGTCGGGGGCTGTGTGGGACCCCCTCCTCGCCGGCTGGGCAGCCCCCAGCCCCCCAGCCCGGTGTGCAGCGGGGCAACACCACCCCCTTGCACGGAGAAGAGCTGGCAGAGGTGCTGGGCTCTGTACAGGTCCTGCAGGAAGAGCTCCAGGGCAGAGAGGAAGAGCACCCAGAGCCGCTCCAGCTCCTGCCTCTCCGCAGGGCTCGCCGGGCCCTGCCGCAGCCCCGCCAGCAGCGTCCGCCGCAGCCCTGTGGGATAGGCGTGTGGGCTGGGGCGGCCCTGGAGCCCCTCCTTGGCCCCTGTGTGGTGCAGCAGTTCCCTCCTTACCCATGCTGAGCTCACAGGCCTCTGCGCTCCTCCTGCGCCGCTCCTCTCGCAGCCGAGGGCTGTCACTGCTCCCCCCAAGCTGCAGCACCAGCTGCCGGTGTCCGGCCGTGGCCTTGCAGAGGGCAATCTGGGCTGTTGCACAGGTTCCCACTGCCCCCCGCCCACGGCACGCATCCCTTCTGCCTGGTGCCATTATGCCCAGTGAAAAGGCAGGGTCGGGATGCCCACGGTGGCTGCTGGCTCTCCAGGGGGCTCGGCCGCTCTGTGCCACAGCGCTGTGCTTGGGTTTGTGAGCAGCTCTGAGCTGTGTTTTGGTTCGGTGTCCCACCCACCCTGGCTGGGGACTGTACCCCTCCTCTTCCCCTCTGTTCTGCTCCACCCCAGCTGGTCCCCAGGGAGCTGTGATTGCCAGCAGGCTAGCACAGCCTCCTTCACAGAGGGCCACAGGGACAAGTGCCACCTTTCCCCTGTAGGGAGGGGGCTGCTCCTGCCCTTCCACCTTATAGCCAGGTCCTCTGGGGGGGAGATGTGGGTCCCAGTGTGGGGCGGGCAGCGGTGGCTCTCTAGAACCCCTGCAGTCCCACAGCCCTGCCCTGGAGCAGGACTCTCAGGGCCAGGGCCACCCTCTGGCGTGTGAACGAGCTGCTCTGCACGGAAACTCTGAGCTCAGCGCTGGCGCCTGCCCAAGAGGCCGTGGGAACCACAACTCTGGGCTGCTCCTGCAGCACTTCCCTGTGGCTTGAGCCTGCCCACGTTCCCTCCCTGAGGAGCAGAGCAGGGGCACACTGCCACAGCCCCCTCCCCATGCACCCCCAGTGAAATCCTGCACCAGCAGCTCAAGCCTTTCCTCTTTAATTGAGGCTCGAATCAAAGCCACAGGTGACAGATGGGAGGAAAAGCTCAGCCGCCGGTGGTGAGATGAGACCAGGACCCTGACATGGAGCAAGGTCCCAGCCAGTGCTGAGGGCCAGATGCTGTGGAGCTGCTGCTCCCTGGACAGCAGAGGAGCAGGGCTGGGTGCAGCAGCTGGCCTGAGGAATGTCTGGTCCCTTACTGCACACCTTCCATCATCTTCAGGAACTCTGCAAGAGAGCAGCAGCCTCAGCCCATGGCCCTGCCTGGGTGTACAACGTGGGTGCTTGTCTGGGGCCATTGCTCACCATCAAAGTCGATGCGGCCGTCATTGTTCTTGTCTGAGTCCTTCATCATGTCCTCTATGTCCTCATCAGTGACAGGCTCCCCGGTGGCTCTCAGGATCTCGCCCAGCTCCTCAATGTCAATGAACCCATCTGCATTCCTGCAGGAGGGTGAGGGAGGGATGAGACCTTGCTCGCCCCCAGAGACAGGATGGGCCACTTTGCCCCCACACTCACCGGTCAAAGATGCGGAAGCAGTTGGCCAACTCCTCCTCAGACTTGCCTTTGGCATCCTCTTTCATCTGGCGCACCATCATGACCAAGAACTCCTCAAAGTCGATGGTGCCGCTGCCTGTGGGGAGGAAGCCAAGCGTGGGTCAGGCTACCTGCCCAGGGTCCAGTACCCACCCCTGCCACCAGCCACCAAGGGCTGCTCACCATCCTCATCCACCTCCTCGATGATGGCATCCAACTCCTCTTTGGTGGGGTTCTGGCCCAGCATTCTCATCACCGTGCCCAGCTCCTTGGTGCTGATGTCTCCACCACCATCAGCATCAAACATGTCAAAGGCGGCTTTGAACTCTGTGGAGAGACAAGTCAGGTCTCTGAACAGTGGGGCAGAGCCAGGCCCTGCACCATGGCTATGTCCAGCCCCTGTCCCTACCGTCCCCACACTCACCCGCAATCATCTCCTCACTGAGGAAGGCACGGGCTTCTGCCTGCTGGTCCGTCTGTAAGGCAAGGGAGAGGGGCACCCATATCAGGCCAGAGACCCCTCATACAGCATGGCCAACAGTGCTTGGCTGTGGAAAGAGCCTCTGCCCTGCTGCAGGATGATCCTGTGCTGCCATGAGTCACAGACACCAGCAATCCCTACAGTTATGGCACTTTCTAGGCACCCATGAACATGGAGGGCTGCAGGGAGCTGCCTGCACAAGTCTCCCCTTATCCAGGGGGCTCCATTGTGCTGGGGTCATGGTCCCTGTGTACAGCCTTGGTATCCTGGGCATGCAGTGCTATTTTTGGGTTCTCCTCAGCTCCCCTTGTAGGGATTGCTGGGGCTCCAGCCGTGGCACCTGTCAACCCCGATCGAGTTTCTCCTGGAGGCGCAGGCCGGCCATGGAGCCAGCAGCAACGCCGTGTCGCATGACCCAGCACTCGGCTTTCAGCCACCCCTGCCACCCCTGCCTCTGTGCAGCTCTGAGCTCCGCACAGGGCTGAGATGGTGTCCCCAGGAACCTGCACCCCTCAGCAGCCACACACTCACCCTCAGATCTGTCCTGTGGGGACCCTGCACCACCCCAATGCTTCCCTGTCCTCACTGCCATGGTCAGCCCAGCACTGGGGACCGTATCCCTGCTGCCTTCTGCAGAGGCACCTCCACAGCCCAGACCCCCCTGTGCCTCCTGCCCAGTCAGGTCTTGTCCTGGCACACAGCACATGGCACACAGCACACAGGAACGCTTACCATCTTGGGAATTTATTGGGCTTCCCAACCCCAGAGAATCACCAGCTCCTGCAGCAGGAACTCCCAGAAGCTTCGTGGTGCCCCTGGCACCCCAATTTGTAGTGTCTCCTCTGTGGGATGTTCCTCCAGCTACAGCCCCCTGGCCCCCTCAGCCTATCAGCGCTCTGGCAGCATCCAGCCCCTCTCACTGGCAACTGGTGCCTTTACCTAATTTAGCCAAAGCTTTATTGGCCAAGGGCTGGGATTAACGTGGGGATGAGGCTGGGATGGAAATTCAAGCCCTTCAGGAGGGAGATCAAAACTGTGGCAGGAGCGCAGCTCTGCCCACCCCCAACACCCCCATCCAAGGCAACTCAGCAATGAGGGGGTTAAAAATAGCCCTGGAGACGTCAGCATCACCCGGGTAAGGGGGACAGAATCCCCCCTGCTCAGGGGGCATGGACTATTACCCACTGGCCCCTGAAAAAGTAGCCCTTCCTGGCCCAAGCTCCCAATACCAAGCTGGTTTCCCCCAGCACAGCGTTCTCTCCCCCTGCACCCCCATTTTCTGCTCCAAGAGACCCAGGCAGAGCAGTGCTGCAGCCCCCCACCCCAGATAAGGAAGGGGTCCCCAGTGGGGCCCAGGGGCATGAAGTCCCTGGAGAGATTTGGAGCATGAGCCCCATGGTTTGGGGTCCCCAGTGCTGTTGGCACCTGTTTCCGGAAATAGGTCCATCTTTTCGTGCTTCTGAGGAGTGGGAATTATGCCCGGTGCCTCCTCGAAGGCTCAGTCCTCACACTCACAGCCTGTGCCAGCCACTGCTGCCAGGACCGGCTGGGGCTGGTGGCTCTGGGGATGTACTGGCCAAGTAGCCCATGCCCTGTGGGGCTCAGAGTCTCAGGGCTGCAGTGGGGTCAGGGTGACTGATCTCTGTCCCACAAGGTCCCAGTGCCAGGGATGACCAGGGGTTTCCTAGCTCCTGGTTTTGCTGGGACCCCCATTCACCAGGTGGGAACTGGGAACAAGTCCAGTCCCTAGTGCATCCCACCCTGCTCAGAGAAGCTCAGGGGTCCCATCTGAGCCTGGGTGAGGTGCAGGGTGCTGGAACAGGACACAGTGAACAAGCGATGGACAGAGTGATGGCAGCAGCTGGGCTGCTTCCTCGATATTTATAGACATTCCCAAGGAAGCAGTGAGGAGTGAGCGGGCAGGCTCTAAAAAAGGCCAGGCAAGTGCTGGAGGTGCAGCTTGGCCATGGGGCCCGTGGCGAGGAGGCCGACTGAGGCCAGGGTGGCAGGTTGCCAAGGTGGCCCAGGGGCATCCCAGTGGGATGAGGAGCCTGAGTCTGGGTAGCAGGATACAAAGATGTTGGTGATCCTGCTTGTAAGGGCACAGCGATGCCAGGGTATTGGGGTATCAAGACCCTGGGACACCACAGCGCCGAGCACTGGAGTGTGGGGGTCCTGTGGCCCCAGGGCAGATATCCGGGGCTCGGCCCGACCAGGACATCCCGGACAGGGGACAGAGGAGCCGAGACGGGGAAGGGCGGGGTCGGTTCCTAGGCAGGGGCTGCGGGCAGAGCCAGGCTGAGCCCTGACCCTGATCCGGGAGTCCCGGGCGGTGCTGCAGGGACCGATCCCGATCCCGGCCGTGCCGGGCAGTGCCGGGAGAGCCGATCCCGATAGTGCCGGACGCTGCCGCAAGCGCCGATCCCGATCCCGGCCGTGCCGGGCGGTGCCGGCTCCGCCGCCCCGATCCGGGTTCCCGGCGGAGGCGGAGCCGCGCAGGGAGGATCCCGGGACGAGCCGTGGCGGAGCGGCCATCGCTCGGCACTGCCCGGCTCGGCTCGGCTCGGCCCGGGGCAGCGCGAACGGGCCGGGGCGGGGGCAGCAGCGGGAGGCTGTCCCGGGGCCGGGCTGTCCCCGCCGGGGGCCGTGCCGCGGTGGGCAGCCCCCGGCCCCGCCGTGCCGCGGTGCCGGGCCGGACCCCCGGCAGCGATGGCCGCCCGCATCCTGCACCGGCTGCGGCACGCGCTGGCGGGCGAGGCCGGCCGGGAGGAGCCGGCGGGCGGCGGCGGCGAGGCCGAGGACTGCCCGGAGAGCTCGGAGCTGGAGGACGACACCGAGGGGCTGTCGACGCGCCTCAGCGGCACCCTGAGCTTTACCAGCCACGAGGACGAGGAGGAAGAGGAGGAGGGGGACGGAGCTAGCGAGGAGCTGGAGGAGCCGCCGCAGGCGCCGGGGGCGGCGGCAGGCACGGAGGACGGAGGCAGGTGCTGGGGCGGTGAGCTGGGGGGACTAGGGTGACTCCAGGGACACTTATGCGATGGTGGCGTCCGGCAGCCCGACAGATGTCAGAGCCCTGTCCCCACGGGGGGCACTGACGCTCCTCTCCCGACACAGAGTGGGTCTCTGCGGCGGAGCGTCCCGGCGGCAGCCTGCTGACCCGGCAGCTGCAGGAGCTGTGGCGGAGGTCGCGGGGCAGCCTGGCACCGCAGCGGCTGCTCTTCGAGGTCACCAGCGCCAGCGTGGTCAGCGAGCGCTCTTCCAAGTACGTGGTGAGTGAGCCCGGCGCGGCTGGGCGGGCAGGGGGTGGGTACGAGTCCTGTTCTCCCGGGGGCAGGGATCCCACGGGGCTGGTGCTTATTTTTTTCTCTTTCTCCGTGCTGCTCGGATGGTGCTGGCGGCTCAGATGAGCCTCAGGTAACTATTGCTGATGGGTGCTGCGGCTGCAGCAGCCCAGTCCACTCCCTTCTGTTTGGGCAAACTCCCCCAGCCCCTTTGTGGCCGCACACCCTGCTGTGCTTGTGCCGGGAGCAACCTGCCCACAGCACTGCCTGACACCTGCCTCCCCCACAGCTCTACACCATCTACCTGATCCGCTCTGGCCAGTTTGACAAGGCCCCTGCCACCATCGCCCGGCGCTACTCGGACTTTGAGCAGCTGAACCGCCGCCTGCGCTGCCGCTTCAGCTGCGACATGGCCAGCGTTGCCTTCCCCAGGAAGAGACTGCGCCGGAACTTCACTGCCGAGACCATTGCCAAGCGGAGCCGAGCCTTCGAACAGTTCCTGTCCCATCTGCACTCCATCGACGAGATCCGCCGCTCTCCTGAGTTCCTCGAGTTCTTCTTCCTGCCGGACCTGCAGGCTGCGCAGCGCCTGACCTGCACTGGCATGTACCGCGAGGCCCTGGCCACCTGGGCCAATGCCTACCGGCTGCAGGACCGGCTGGGGGTCTGCAGCTCCGGCCGCTTCCTGCTGACACTGGCCGGGCTGGCCGTCTGCCACCAGGAGCTGGACCAGCTCAGTGAGGCCCATGGCTGCTGCGAGCAGGCGCTGCAGCTGCTGGAGGCCCAGGGCAGCCACCCGCTCCTGGGCCCCTTCCTGCAGACCCACGTCCACCTGGCCTGGAAGGTGGGCAAGGACAAGCGGCGCTCGGAGGCCCGGCTGCAGGACCTGCGGGAAGCTGGGCTGCCTCTGCAGCAGCAGCCTTCCCTGAAGGAATGCCTGATCAAGGAACCTCTGGAATGAGCCACCTGTGCTAACAGGGGCGGGAGGGCAAGGGCTGTGGGGGAGCTCACAGGCCTGTGGCAGCTGGCAACAGCGAGGGAAATGCCATGGGTGGCAATGGGGCAGGGGAGCAGCGCTGCAGTCCCACGGGCAGCACCGCCCATGCCTAGAGCTGCCTCCTGAATGCACTTTCTCTGTGGTTAGTCTGTTTAGCGGGGCTGGGGACTCAAGGGGGTCCACCACCCACATTGGTGCTGCCAGAAGCTGCTCCCCCTCTGCAGGGGATCCTGGAGTGGCTGAGACCTTAGCTGGGACATACTGGCACCTTGCAAGGGAATGGGAAAGCTTCTGGCAGGGTCCAGGGCTCTTGCTGGGAACTTCCCATCGAACTTACACAATAGAAAGGACTTTATTAAATAAAGTCTTGGCAGGAAGAAGAGCACGGCGCCTGCTGAGTCTGTTTAGCCTTACTACCCCAGGGCATCATCAGTGGGAGGCCTCAAACCTCCATACAGAGGTGGGAGCTGCCTCATCCCCTTCTCCCAGCTCCCAACTGGGCCCAAGCCCAAGCCCAGTCCTGGGGAGGAGCCCAAGGACAAGCAGAAGTAGCGACTGAGGAGCCAGGGCAGTACAAGCAGTGCAGAAGTGAGAAGAGGAAACAACGTGTGCCAAAGTAGCACCTTCCCCTCCTGTGACCCAGCCTGGCACAGGGGAAGAGCTGATCCATTGTGCTCCTGGCACTGCCTGCCCTTGTGCAAGCCCAGTCACAGGTCCAAGGGGACAAACTCCAGGGACAGAGTCCAGCTCTTCACCCAATGGCTTTATTTTAAGGTGGATGAAGGATAGCTGATGGCAGTGTGAGCTTACATGCTGTGCAGCTAGCAGCTGGTTGCAGCGATGCTCTGTTGGTCACAGTCTGTCGCAGACATCTCTGGCACTGGAACTTCCTGCAGTGCTTGGTCCCACCTGGTCTCCTTCCTGTCCAGGTTGTGTCTTGATCTCAGGGTCCCTCCCTCGGCATGCTTGAGTCTATAGCGTGTCCTCAGCTAGAGCTTGCTCTGGTTTGGTGACTGTTCCACCCTGATGACACCTTCCTGTGCACAGGTGACAGCCAGGACCCCATCCCTGCGCCACAGCCGTCCCTGCACCAAGCCCCGGCACCCACCTGCAGAGAGAGACTGTCAGACTGCAGCCCACTGCCCCAGGACAGGCAGGGCTGGCCTTGGCCATGAGGGTCTCCCAAAAATGCACTAAGGACTTACCAGCCCAGGGGCTCTCACACTCGTACAGCATCCAGTGGTCAGCTCTGAAGGGCGCGTGGAACCACATGGAATGGTCAAGGGACACCATGAACTTGACGCGGTACTGCCGGTGCGGGAGCAGGGCCGTGCCCAGGAAGGCGTAGTCAGAGATGTAGGCAGCCACGCAGCAGTGCACCTTCATGTCAGTCTCCCCTGCAGAGCAACCAGTGCTGCCCATCCCGCTGGGGCCTGTGGGACGTGTCTGGAGTGCAGAGCCCCAGGGGCTCCGCTCCCCTGGAGCCAGCTGCCAAGCACATCTGAGATCCCTCCAGACTTATTCCCTTTGCCATGCCATGCCCCAGCATGGTTCACAGCATCATTTCTGCACCCACACCTGTATTACAGCCTTGAAGTGTCCAGGCTAGGGCACAGGAAGCCCCCTAATCACAGCCCTCCCAGCCCATTCTGTTGCAAGAGTGCTCCACAGGTGAGCTGGTGCTTAAGCCCTTGGATTGGGAGGTACCTGAACCCAGCAGGACCCACCTATGTAGCCTCGGGCTCGCACCCAGAAGAGCTGCTTCGGCTCCTGTGGCTCTGAGCTGAATATATCTGGTGGGTTCACAGGTTTAATGTCAATCGGCACATCTTGAGCTTGGATCTTGGTGAGACGTTTCCTGTATCCCTCGGCCACATTAGGATTCCTGCAGCCCAGCACAGAGAAGCGAGGTTAACGCCAGACTTGTGGGTTGGAACACATCTTACTGGCAGCAGTTCCAACCCAGTGATCCAGAGGCACACAGAAAGACAAGAGTTGCACAGCTCCTGTTTGTCCTGCTCCTCTCTTCCCCTCCCAGGCATATTTGAGAATTTCTCACATAGTCCTCTCCCACACCTCCCTATGCCCCAGGCAGCAAGGTGCATGCCCAGCATGTCCTTTCCAGCCCACTCACTGCAGGAACTTCTGGATGAGCTCCTCTTGTGTCAGCAGCTCCTCGGGGGGTGGCACGGTGGGCATGGTGAACTGGTGCTGCACTGGGCTTCCCTGGGAGAGCTGGAAGGAGGCCTGGCAGGTGAAGATCGGCTTTCCATGCTGGATGGCCTTTACAGAGCGCACAGAGAAACTCTTCCCCGTGCGGGTCCGCTCCACCTCGTACAGCACCGGCACCTTGGGGTCCCCTGGGACAGGACAGGGACGTTCTGCCGCCGGGCCACGGCGCTCCACCGAAACCGCCCTGCAGAGGCGGGGCCCGGCAGCGCCCGCTCTGCCGGCACCGGCGTGACGGCGCCTCCTCGCTGCTCAGTGAGAACTCCCCCAGCGTCCCAACCCTCCCGGTCCCTGCACCGCGCCGGTTCCCGGTTCCCCGGGCGCACCTGTCCGCACGAAGTAGCAGTGGAGCGAGTGCACCTGCTCGTCGCGGCTCACGGCGTGCGCTGCCGCCACCAGCGCCTGCCCCACGATCTGCCCGCCGAAGAGGTGCTGCGTGGCGGGCACCCAGTGGTGCTGGCCCCTGCGGGGAGAAGGCGGCCACGGTGAGGGCGGCGGCGGCGGCGGAGGAGGAGGCGGCCCGGTCGCGCTGCCCCGGCGTCCACCCGCACCTGAAGAGGTCGACCTCCAGCCGCTCCAGGTTCAGCACGCTGGTGATCAGCACGCTGCGCAGGTCCCCGGGCGGCGGCGGCCCGGATCCCGGCCCCGCTGCGGCCCCACCGGCATCGCCCGGGGTCCCCATCGCCCCCGCGAACCGGGACCGGCACCGCCGCCCGAGCAGCGCGGCGGACCAGGAAGCACCGCCCAGCCGCGGGGCACAGGCCGCCATGTGATTGGGCGGTAGAGCTGTCAGTCACCCCTGTCTTGTGGGCTGGTTGGTTCGCCTCCTGTCAATCGGGAGAAGACGGCGTTGATTGGTCGAGGTCACGGTGCGGGCGGTGCCCGGCTGGTTTAACGGGGATGGCGGGGTGCGTTTGGGCGGCCGAGCGGAGGGGTCCGGGCGGCCGAGCGGAGGGGTCCGGGCGGCCCCCGCAGTCTCGCCTACAGGGGCTGCCTCTGCGAGCTGCGAGCGGCGTCCTGGGGCGCAGCCACAACCGGCAGCACGGCACCGCTGTCCGCCAGGACATCAGGTAAGGCCCGCCCGCCGCGTCCGTCTGGAGCTCGCAGTGGCATGGCCGTGGCCCGGGGTCCCCCGGTGTAGCACAGCCCGGCCCCGTGGAGCCGCCGCTTGGCTCCAGCCCAGCGCTGCCCCGGGGCACAGGCCCTGTCCCGTACCTGGCTGTGGTAACCGGGCTGATCTCGGTAGTGTGATGCCCCGGTACCAGCTGTGCCACACACTTGCTGTGTTCACCGTATAGCTCCTGCCTTTTCCAGCTCAAGACTTCAAGCATCAGCATCTGCAGCATTCCTGCTGTCCTCACCTGACTGCAGTGGAAAGGTGATACCAGGTTTCTCTCAGGGAGCACTTCATTCCATGGCCTTCGCTTCTCCAAGCGGGTGCAGTGACACTGTTTCCTTTCTATCTTAGCTGGTGGAGGTGCTTTTGTGCACAAAGGCCACAAGGTCACTCACTAGTTATGCAACTGCTCCCTTTGCCCTTTTAAAATATAACTTGCCTTCTTAAAATACAATTGAACCTCCTTCCTTGAAGCTTTTCTTGTCATGTTCTAGCCTGCTCCTCCACAGCTGCAGAACCGTGTGGTTTAGGGATAAAGACATAAACACATGGGTATCAGCTTCCACACCAAAGCAATGAAGTGCTTCTTCAAACAGATGCTGAGAGTCTTCTCCTACACTGGGCGCCAGGCAAGGGAGGACAACTCCTGTACGCCTTCCTTGTGGAGAGCAAGGAGCGAGAGGGGAGAGTGGTGCCCTTGTTGCTGAAGAGAGACATGAGAGAGAGCCCAGCCGCTGAGCCTGGAGCTGCTGCAGAGCGATGGGAGCAGCTGGGGGAGGCAGCCAGGCGGGGCCGGTGCCCGCACGCCGCTCTGGGTAGCAGCCACTGCGAGGGGCGCTCCCGGTGTCCCGGCCCGGTGCGATGCACAGCGGCCGCTGCGAGGGGCGCTCCCGGTGTCCCGGCCCGGTGCGAGGGGCGCTCCCGGTGTCCCGGCCCGGTGCGATGCACAGCGGCCGCTGCGAGGGGCGCTCCCGGTGTCCCGGGCCGCTGCGAGGGGCGCTCCCGGTGTCCCGGCCCGGTGCGATGCACAGCGGCCGCTGCGAGGGGCGCTCCCGGTGTCCCGGCCCGCTGCGAGGGGCGCTCCCGGTGCCCCGGCCCGGTGCGATGCACAGCGGCCGCTGCGGGCGGCGCCCGAGCGCTCCGGTGCCGCCGCGATTGGCGCGGGCGGGGGAGGCGGAGGGGAGCGCGGCAGGGACCGGGATGTCCCCGCCGGTAGCGGCAGCCCAGGCCGCTCAGCTGCCGCGGTGCAGCTCTCCGGCACCGCACCGAGGGGCTGGCCGTGATCGCCGCCAGGAAAGCCACGGGTGCGGGCTCTGAGAGCCACCGGCAGCCGCTGCTCGCCGTCCCGAGAGACCCCATCACGCCGGATTTGCTGCCTCAGCTCCACCTCGCTGGCTGCTCGACGATGGGGTCTGGGCCACGTACATAGGGCAGCTAGGGAAAGAGCAGAGACTTTTCATGGAGCTGGAGATTGTCATCCATGGGCTAAGTCAAATTTTCAGTGCTGGGCTTTCTCTGGAGAGCTGCATCACCACCTTGACCCAGCATTACAAAGAGTGTGTTTCTAAGATCCCTCCTGATACCATGACACACTCTGCTTCCCATCCTGATCACTGTGTTGCTCAGGCAGCTCCCCCAAGTGTGCCTATTTCAGATGTGCCTCTTGCCCCTCTGGTGTGCCAGGGTGACACAGAGCTCTGGCCAGGCTTCCCCCACTGTGGCAGCAGCTCAGCAGAAGCAGTGGCCCCTGTCAGCCTCTCTTGTGGCTGTTGAGAATCGTGTGATCTCCAGAGTCTATCAGCTCCCTGAGGCCCTTCAGTGTCAACTGAAACACCTCGTGCTCTTCTCTAGAGTGAGCCAGTAAGCTCATTTCCTGTTAGATCCTGTATCCTGTGGCAAAACTGGAGGCCACAGAAACCTCAGAGGATGACAGTGAAGATTTGATTACCCAGAGGACTGAAGATAGTGTCAGGCAGTCTTTGAGTGGCATTTGCACAGAGGCTGCTGCCAGTGTGCCTCGGGCAGTGGTTTGGAAGTCCAGGCAGCTGGTTTGCACCAGGTAGGACAGGCTCAGTGTACAGATCCAGGGGGATGCCCACCCCGTGGACATCTTCCAGGAAGGCTCAAGTAGCTACACTTGCCACTTCAACCTGGCCTTCTGGCTGCCCTACTGGCACATCTTGGCTGTGCTGAATTTAAACAGGAAGCTCTTGCAGAGGGAAATGCTCAATAGACCATGGGAGAGGGTGGGTCTCACTCACCAGGCTGGGTGAGACAGTGCTGATGGCCTCCTGGAGGAACTAAAGAGCTCCTGGAACGAGTCTTTGGATAAAGCCCTGGTGGTGTCCTTCCTCACAGCAGAGATCAGCCAGCTGCCTGCCTCAGTAGTGAGGACTTGGAGCACAGGACTCTGTGGGAGGTGGCTGACAGCTGGGTCAGGCCCTATGGTGAGGTGAAGCTCCAGCACTGAGTGGGAGCTGAGCTGGGTGCTTCCACTGTGTCCTGTCTTGCACCTTCATTCCCCTCAGCCTGTCATTTCCTCAGCGTGGAAGGGGCAGTTTGGGTCCTTGATCTGCTGAGTGAGCGTCACTTCTTGCATGGGGCAGCAGAGGAACTGGATTGGGAGATCCTGATCCTGCAGCGAGGGTAACAGTCACTGACCTGGCTAACAGCTGTGGCCAGGAGCCAGCTCTGGATGGTGCAATGTGGGAGGTGCTGGTATCCTAGAATCTGCTGAGTTGGAAGGGACCCATTTGGATCGTGTCCAACTCCCAGTCCTGTGCAGGACACCACAAAAATCCCACCATGTGCCTGAGAGCATTGTCCAGACACTTCCTGAACTCAGACAGGCTTGATGCCATGACCACTGCCCATTGTCCACTGCCTGTTCCAGTGCTCAACCACCCTTTAGGTGAAAAACCTTTTTCTGATATCCTGCCTCAATCTCTCCTGACTCAGCTTTATACTATTTCCTCGAGTTCTGTCATAGGTCATGAGAGGGAAGAGATCAGTACCTGTTCCTCTGCTTCCTCTCATGAGGGTTCTGAAGATCACAACGAGGTCTTCCTGCAGTTTCCTCTTCACCAGGCTGAATAGACCAAGTTACCTCTACTGTTTCTCAAAAGCCTTCCTTCCAGTCCCATCACCATTCCCATGGCATCTTTTGAATGTTCTCTTTTTTATATTGTTGTGCCAAAACTGCCCCCAGGATTTGAAGTGAGGCTGCACCAGTGCAGAGCAGGGCAGGACAACCCCCTCCCTTGCTGGCAATGCTGTTTCTGATGCCCCCAGGACAGGGTTGGCACTCCTGGCTGCCAGGACACTGCTGATCATATTCAATTTGCCATCAACCAGGACCCCCAGTGCTGGTCTTCAGCTTCTTGTTCCCCTGTCTGTATATACCACCAGGATTGCCCTGTACAAGGTGTAGAATCTGTTACTTGCTCTTGTTAAACTTCATACTTTTGGTGATTACCCATCTCCAATTTGTCAAGGTCTCTCAGCAAGACCTCTCTGCTCTCAGTGGAGTTGACAACTCCTCCCAGTTTAGTGTTGTTAGCACTTTAAATTAGTATATTACTTAGTATTCCTTCAAATTCTGAGTCCAAGTTGTTAATGAAGATGTTGAAAAGAATTGGGCCAAGGATGGAGCCCTACAGAGCCTCTCTAGTGGCTGGACACCAGCCTGATGTCACCCCATTCACTATAACTCTGTGCCCAACCTGTGAGCCAGCTGCTCACCCACTGTGTAACAGGCTTATTCAGCTGCTAGCTGGACACTTTGTCCAAAAGAATACTGGGACAGACATTATCAAAACTGCACTGAAGCCCAAAAACATTGCAGCTACTGGTTTTCTTTGGTCACTTAGGTGGGTTACCCTGTTGTAGAAGGAAATCATGTTCAACAAGCAGGACTTTCCCCTCACTAAGCCATGCTGGCTGTCACCAGTGACTGTGTTCTCCAGGTATTTTTCAGTACCTGCCAGAATGATCTTTCCCATGATTTTACTGGGCACTGAAGTGAGACTGACAGGCCTGTAGTTTCCAGGGTTCTCCTTCATGCCCTTTGAAATCGGGACATCATTCCCCAGCTTCCAGTTATGTGGGACCTCTCCAGATTCCCAAAACTGCTCAAAAATCATCAGGCGTCTTCGTGATGACATCAGCCAGTTGCTTGTGGTTTCTCAAATTAATCCCATAAGGGCCAATAGATTTGTAGGGATCTAGGTACAATAACACATGACAAAACTATTTCATCTGTGGCCAGCACCCGCAGGACCTTGCAGCATCCAGCTGTGAGGTGTTGTGCAATGGAGCCAATAAATCACCCTCGTGTTATTTGGGAGCTGAGTCTGTCCCTGTGCCAGCTGCAGCCACCCCTCCCCGGCCAGGGAACAGGGCATGGGGAATGGGCAGGGCCTTGGGCAGTGCTCCTCAGTCCTCCTGTCTCACCGTGCTGCCTCAGGTGGCAGCTCCTGAATCCCTGCAATCCCACTGTGCTGCGGCCCATTAGAGAGCAGGGCTGTTGTTTGTCCGGTTGCAGCAGCTGCTCTCCATTCCTCAAGAAAGAGGAACCCTCCCTCATGTGCGGGGGTCACTGCCGGGCAGATAACACTGCAGGGAGGTGGGGAGCAAAGGCTTCGTGCAAGGGTGGGGAAGGGAAAACAGCCTGGAGAGTAAACGAAACGCCCTCGTCTGTGGGCGCTGCTCTGGAGTGGGTGAGCTCCCCAGCCCCATCGCAGCCAGATGAGCTCCAGCCCCAGCAGCTCCCAGCCTGTTGTTGGGACACAGCAGGGAACATCACTGACCTCGCTCCATTGCTGTAGTTTGGTCACTGTCCATGTTTTGCCCATTTAGCAGTTCCTTCATTAACACTTTGGTGTTGATGGAGCTGGCTGTGGTTGTGGGCTGGGGATTTCCTTTGAGCACGAGTTTTGTAACATGATCTGATACTATCGAGCCTCCGACTAAATATAGCATCGTGTTTCTCGAAAACACCTTTTTGTAAGCTTTGAGCTGCTTGTTTCCTCTTCAATTGTACTTTGCCAGCCTCTTTGCTGTCTTTCTGGCTCCAGTGGGAACCCCTCTGATTTTAGGAGACCTCTCCCCTCCAGCCTGTTGCTCTGCACAGCTGCCACCCTGCCTCCCCTCCAGCCTGGCATAGGCACTGCAGGATGCCGGCTGCCATCCCCATCTGCCACGAGCTGAAAGGTCTGGCTGAGGGCACAAAGCCGAGGGCATGAAGCTCCAAGTCAGGATGGCTGTGCCCTGCACCAGGTCACTGTGACTGGCTCTGTGGCCACAGACACGTGCCCAAGCAAGGGCTGCTGTCAGCATTGGTGTTTGGGTGCTCCAGGATCTGACTCGTCTCCCTCCAAGCTGAACACACAGGAAATACCTCTTTCTCTGGGTAAACATCTTTCCCAAGAGTGAAACTGCCAGGATGAGCGTCGGGCTGTAATTTACCTCCACGTGAGTGCTGTGCTGTGCCCTCCCACACTCCACCCACTCTGATCCACCCACACAGTTCCAGCATAATTCCAGGGCTGGGAACATGTCCTGAGCCCCATAGGGCTGTGGCCTGTGCTCCCTTCCTCACTGGTGGGGGAACTGCTCCCACAAGGAGCTGCTGAAGCACAGGGGTGTCCCAGCCCCCCAAGCCTCCTTTGACAGAGTCTTGTCTGGAAGCACTTTATTGCAATCTGTGACCCACATCAATCCCCCTGCTCATGCTCTGGGAATGCCACACCATCTGTGTGGGGAAATCCCAACCCCGGTTTGCTCTGCTTTTATGTCAGCCCTTCAGCAGCACATGCTGGGCTGAGTGGGCAGGGAGGGGCACGGAGCCTGCGGGGCAGCTGGGGGGCTGCTGATGTGGGGGGCAGCCCAGCAGCACCCTCGGTACCTCACTCGTGTTGGCAGAAGCTCTTGAGCAGCGGGGGCAAGCGCAGGCCATCGATGGCCAGGCGGTGCACGACGTGTTTCTGGATAACCAGCCGGCACAGCGTCTGCAGGGAAGGAACTGCAAGAGAACAGAGAGGGTACCTGAGCCGGGCAAGTCGGCAGTGAGGCTGAGCACAGCGGGGTGGAGGAGCTGGCAGAGGCACTGTGGTTAAAGGCAGTAGTGGGTGAGTTTGTTCTGTGGCATCATCCTGCCCTGGGCTTAAACTGGCTGTGCTGGGGCTGGTGCAAGGCTGCTCCAGCAGGGCTGGAAGCTCAAGGGCCCCAGGCAGCAAAGCTCTTCCCGTTATTAGGAGGAAGGTTGAGAGACAGTTATGTGCCCAAGCTGTGTGTGACCGTGCCTGCTTTGCATTTCTTTCTCTGGTGGCTGTCAAGCAACTCTCCAGGGTCTCACATACCCATGCTGTGCTTTTTTTCCATCCCACTCCCTTGGTCTGCCTGCACTGGCCCCAGAGCCAGGCTGCTGGGTGAGTGTCTGCAGGCTGGGGCTGCACTGTCTGCAGAGACAGTGCCCACCATACTTTTGGGGCAGACCACCATGAGAACCATCCCCTTGGGCACTTCCACAGAATCTGCCTGGTTCCTGCTCCTGTGATACAACTTCCCAGAGCCATGGGTGGCCCAGCAGCATGGGTGCTGTCTGCTGTAGCCACTACTCTTCAGCTGTTACATCAGGGAGAATACCAGGTTCCAGCCTTGGCACAGAAGCAGCTGCTCTTAACACCGGCATGAGAAGCAGTACCTCCCAGTGCTGGTGGCAGGCAGTACTCTGGCTCTAGCTCTTCTGCCTCTGTCTCACCTGATCCATCTCCTCATTTTTCCAGTGTGCTGCTACTCAGCACTTATTAGCCTGGTCCCTCCCAGCAAGGCAAAGGACACGGGATAATGCCCAGGCCTCGATGGCATCGCAGGGTGTCTGCCCAGGGAACACCGTGTCCGGGGCACGTGGCAGCTGCGTGGGCGCTGTGTGCTGAGCCGTGGTGGATGTAGGTGGATGTTTTGATGCCAGGGCAGGATCTTAGCTGGCTCTGACTGCCACGTGCTCTAGGCAAGGCTGGGCACAGCGAGGCCTCCCAGCTGTGAGACAGCCCCAAACACCCGACCCTATCACGGCTTGGGAAGGGTGGCCAGGGGGGTCTGCCTGACTGCTGCTGCTGCTGGGGGTCTCTCCCCTGGCCCCAGCACAGCGCCCATGGCAGAGCTTTCATCAGACACTGCCCAGCAGCGGTACTGTGGATCTCACCTGTTCTCCACAAGGGCCAGAGGCTTTCTTGCGCCCTCTTACCCCATGTCCCTCTGCCCAGTGGCACGCACCAACCTTCCCTCTGTTGGCGACTATGGCATGACCCCAGCAGAGCTCCCCCACTCCTGGCCCACGCAGCACGTGCCGCAGGGAAGGGCACAGGTACCTACAGCCATAATCCACCGGGATCACCCGGACACTCTTGGTGGAAGCAAAGACGTCAATGACGGCGTAGAGCGGGCGGGTGGTGGGCAGGCCCCTGGCGCTCGGCCCCATGTCCTCGCCGTTGATGATGATGTGCATGTCGGCGGTGCCATCGGGCTGTGGGGCGTACAGCACCCCGATGCGGCTGCGCCGGGCGGTCGCGGGCAGCACGTTCATCTTGTACAGGTCATCCAGGATGTGGCTGTAGCGGCCGGGCCGGCTGCGCCCCACCAGCGTGTCACGGGGGATCCGCACCCGCTCGATCAGCAGGAAGGGCTCCCAGGGCCGCCCCCGCGCCTGCACCTCCTCCCCCTCCACCACCACACGGTTGTGGTTCCGGGTGATGGCAAACACCCAGGTGTCCCCCAGGTTCACCAGGTCCGGCAGCGAGTACTCGGGCACTACCTCCAGGCTCTGGGGATCGTGGGCTGTCAGTCCCACACGCAAGTGCCCGCACCAGCCCAGCTCCTTCTCCTCAATCTCCACCAGGAAGATCTGCCCGGGTGCCAGAGGCTCCTGGCTGAAGCAGAGCCCGTTGGCGAAGCTCTCCACCCGTGTGGCTTGCGTGTGTGAGGCATCCAGGCGGATGTTGGCGCCGTGGATGTGGTGGAAGCGTGCAGCAAGCCTGCACCGGGCAGCCATTGCTGCCGGAGCTATTTTTAACTGTCCCTGTCACAGCTGCTGTGAGGTGGTGACAGCCCTGCTGGGAGGGACAACCAGAGGGCTCCAGGGGGGTCCTAGTTCTATGGGGGAGGTTGGGGGGCCCTGTGGCTGCTGGGCACACCCGGGCCCAAACCAGACCCACAGACATTCCACACTGGACTGTCTAGCGCTGCCACCTGGGGTGCCTGGATGTGCCCATGCTGTCCAGCAGCAGCAGGCAGTGCCCGCTGGTGCCCAGTGGTACCAGCTATAGCCAGCAGCGGCCAGTGGCCATCACACGGTGCTGACTGGCAGGGCCTGGCGATGCCCGGCTTTACCCAGCGCTGCTGGGTGGCACCCAGCTGTGGTGCCCACCGGAGCACCGCACGCCCGGCTGCCCCCATTTGGGTGCGGGGTCTCTGTCGTTGCCCCCCCCGGCGGTGTCCCGGTCCCGGTCCCGGGGCCGCTCCCACGTGCGCGGGCGGGGCCGGGGGCGGGGCCGGCCGCCCCCGGGGCGCTGATTGGCCGCCGCCGGGCCCCGCCCCGCTCACGTGAGCACCGCAGGTCATATGGGCGCGTGTCATGTGCCCGCCGTGACCGCCGCCTGCGAGCGCCGCGCCGGGAGCGGCCGCGGTCAGCGGGACCGGGGGGCCGGGAGGGGACCGGGGGACGGGACGGAGGGGCCAGGACCGGCGCCAGGGGAGCCGGCCGGGCCGGGGGTCAGCCCCGAGTGCGGGGCCTGCCGGAGCAGCCGGGCCGGGGCGCTCGCGGGGCGCTGCCGCGGCCGTTCCTGGCTGACAGCACCCTGACCGTCCCTTCCGCCCACCGCAGATGGGGCCAGTGTTGCTGTCGTCGCTGCTGCTGCTGGGGTTGGGCCGGGCCGCCCCCCCGGACCATGAGGTGACCTACCTGCCCGGGCTGTCAAAGCAGCCCTCCTTCCGCCACTTCTCGGGCTACCTCTGCGCCGGGCCGGGCAAATACCTGCACTACTGGTACGTGGGACTGCGCCTGGCGATGGGGGGGGCATCGGCTGGCACTGGGCACTCACAGCTACACGTCCACAGGTTCGTGGAGGCCCAGAGCAATCCCCAGAGCAGCCCCCTGGTCCTGTGGCTGAACGGGGGCCCTGGCTGCAGCTCCATGGAGGGCTTTCTCAAGGAGCATGGCCCCTTCCTGGTTAGTAGTCACTGCTATCCTGTGGCTCAAGGGCTCAGGGGATGACCGGCTGCGTGGCACGAGCCATCCCTCTGTGTCCTGCCCTGCTTTGCCCATCAGTCACCATCTTCTTCCTCAGATCCAGCCTGATGGGGTCACACTGAAGTACAATGAGTACGCATGGAACAAGGTACAGGCACTGCTTCCCTTTGTGGCTTTAAGATAGGGTGGCTGTGAGCCAGTTCCTCCTGCTCTCTCCATTGACCTGACTGCTGCTCCCCTCCTGCCCAACACACCCTCCTCCTGAGTCTGCTGTTGAGCAGCACAGGAATGTGGCCACCCCAGTGCAGCCCTGGGGCGGGCCACACTCCTGTGGGCGCTGCCATGGGTGGGGCTAGCAGTCCTTGGCCCCACTGAGGCAGAGGGTCTCCCCTGATTGCTGGCTCCTCTGCTGTCCTTGCAGATTGCCAACATTCTCTACCTGGAGTCTCCTGCTGGTGTCGGCTTCTCATACTCCGATGACAAGAAGTATGGCACAAATGACACGGAGGCGAGTGACTGGGAGAGCCCTGCTCCCCTGCCTGCCCACTCCTGGCCATGGGGTTCAGCCTCACCACCTGACCATGCCACCTTCTCCCTGCAGGTTGCTCACAACAACTACCTGGCACTGAAGGACTTCCTCCGGCTCTTTCCCGAGTACTCCAAGAATGATCTCTTCCTCACAGGGGAGAGCTATGGAGGGGTCTACATTCCCACACTGGCAGAGTGGGTGATGCAGGACCCCAGCCTCAACCTGAAGGTGGGCAGCTTGGCTCTGCCCAGTCGGGGAGCAGAGGGCTTGGCACAGCCAGGGTGGGACCAGCCGGGATGTAGGGCACGCCTGGCCCTGCAGCCTTTTATCTCTTCCTGGGGTTCTGGCAGCAGCTGCTGGTGGACGTGTCTGTCCCTGCTGCCAGGGGAGTGTCCTCAGGCACCCCCAACCCTCCCTGTTCCCTCCGCAGAGTAAACAGTTCCACATCTGCTTCCTGCCTGCGGCTGCTCTGCTGTGACTGCCCTGCGGGGAGCTGGAACACAACAGGGTTGTTTTCTTCTTGCCTCGCAGGGAATCGCTGTGGGAAACGGCCTCTCATCTTATGAGATCAATGACAACTCCCTGGTTTACTTTGCCTATTACCACGGGCTGCTGGGGACAGAGTAAGAGCAGAGGGAATGCTGGATGTGCCTTCCCTGTGCAAGCAGGATGGGTGCACAGCTGAGGCTGGGGCTGTCTGGGTTGGTGGTGTTGAGACAAGGGCACACATAGCCTGCCCTGGGTCAGCATCTGGGCTGTGGCTCCTTGTCCCAGGTAGCTCCCGTGGGTGCATTTGTGGGGTAAGGAGGACACATGGCCAAGCTCTGTGCCTTGTGGCCACTGGGCAGAGAGCTGCAGGGCAGCTGTCATGTCAGTGTTGCCACCTGGTCCAAGTGGTCCTGGTCTCTGCCTGCAGGCTGTGGAAAGACCTGCAGGCCTTTTGCTGCTCCGAGGGGAAGTGCAACTTCCATGACAACTCCAACCTGAACTGCACACTCAAGGTGAGGGAGCCGGAGCCCCTATACCTGCGCCGAGCAGAACGTGCCTGGGCCCACAAGTCCACAAGGGTCCTGCTGAGTCCCAAACCCTTCTTGCGGTTCCTTGCAGATGGGGGAAATGATTCAGATTGTAGAGGAGTCTGGCCTCAATATCTACAACCTCTATGCCCCTTGTGATGGAGGTGTCCCAGGGAGCATGAGGTGAGAGTAGCCCCAGGGAAAATAGTTCTATTAGCACCAGATTGCTTTGCACTACACAGAGGGACCTGGTGAGCTGGGCTGGGTAAGTGTCCCTCTGGGACACTTGGATGGTTGTGTGGCTGCTGCTGAGGACTCCCCTCAGGAGAGCCCTTAGCCCTTGTTCTCCAGGGTTTTCAGTCTGTCCTCATACTCATTATGGCTACAGATATGAGGGTGATTATCTCATCACACATGACCTGGGCAACTCCTTCATCCGGATGCCACTGAGATTCTCCTGGCGGCAGGTGAGCTGAGGTGCCCACGCTGCTGGGCTGTGAGCAGCCTCTGGCCAGTTGTGCTGTTGTGGGTAGAAGGGGCAGAAAGCACCTGCTCCATGGGGCAGGTGCTGCTGTGACAGTGACCCTCCCGACTCTCCCAGAACCTGTTCCGGATGCCAGTAGCTCGAAAAAAGGTCCGGATGGACCCGCCCTGCACCAACTCCACAGCCCCTAGCATGTATCTGAACTCCCCCGAGGTGCGGAAGGCTCTGCACATCTCCCCCGAGGCCCCAGAGTGGCAGGTGTGCAGGTGAGCAAGCTGTGGGCAGGGAAGGAATGCTCTGAGAAGGAGCAGATGTGCTGCCAATGCTTCCTCCACAGCTTCGAGGTGAACCGCAGCTACAAGCGCCTGTACATGCAGATGAATGAGCAGTATCTCAAGCTGCTTGGAGCCACGGTGTGTACAGGGGAGCCCACAGACTCTGGGAGTGTCTCTGCCAGCTCAGCCTTCTACCTGGCTGGGGCTGCTGCCCTGCCAACAGCTCACTCTCTGTCTGCTACACAGAAATACCGGATCCTGGTATACAACGGGGACGTCGACATGGCATGCAACTTTCTCGGGGATGAGTGGTTTGTGGATTCCCTGTGCCAGAAGGTAAATGGGCAGGGCTCAGGCCAGGCCAGTCACTGGCTCCGGGCTATGTGCTGTAGCTGGTTGTGGCAGGAGCATGGGCAGGGCCAGCTGCAGGTGCTGAAGACACTGCTGCTACTCCCAGGTGCAGGTGGCTCGCCGGCCCTGGCTCTATACTGAAAACGGTGAGAACCAGATTGGTGGCTTTGTGAAGGAATTCACCAACATCGCTTTCCTCACTGTCAAGGTAGGGCCTGAGGGCTCTGGGGGCCAGGGATGGGGCTGTGGGTGGGTGTGCTGGATACCAAGGCTGCAGTCAGGGTTGGGTGGTGTTGGCTGGGCTGCGGCAGCACCCCAGCTGCACTGCCAACCACTGTCCCTTTCCTACAGGGAGCTGGCCACATGGTGCCCACAGACCGGCCTCTTGCTGCCTTCACCATGTTCTGCCGCTTCATTAAGAACCAGCCTTACTAAGAGCTGCAGAGGTAGCACCCAGCGCTCCAGCTGCTCTTGCCACCCCACCTGCCCTCACCGCCGGCACCTTACACAGCCTGTCCTCATTGCTGCTTGGCTATACCACGGACCTGTCATGCCTGCAGCCTTCCCCTGGCTGGACAGGATGAGGGGCATGGGCTGGGGGACTCTGTCCTTGTGGGAGAGGCATTGTGCACCTGCTGCAGCCACCTCCTCCCTTGTGGCTTCCTGCCTTGCCTCCTCCCTGTCTGAGGCAGCAGCTGCTTCCCTCCCAGGCAGGGAGCAATCCCCAGCACTTTTCCCTCGGCCCCACATGCACATGGCCTCAGCAGGCTATGAGGAGCAGCAGCAGGGGTAGGCTGGGTCCTGCTTACCTCTACTTTGGCTCCCACCACTTCTGTTCCTACTGAGGGAGACTTACCACCACTACCACAACAATCCCACTGCCAGGGCACACAGTGCTTCAGGAACTCGCAATAAACTCTGACCAAGGTGGTTCTGCTCCTCCTTGCACCTTTGTGCCAACCCCTGCTTCGCTTTCCTCCACTCTCTGAGGAGCACCAGTGAGTACCAACACCCTTTGCCAGGGAGCCCTGGGTTCTGTGAGCTTTGCCCTTTCTGCGGGGGTCCCTGCATCGAGTGAAATGAGTGACCCACCTAAGTGGCGGCAGCACAGTCACTCTGAGCCCTCCAGCACTGCACTAAGCAGCTTC